CAAAATCAGCCAGAATAAACTTTGCAACAAAATGAGAAGCATTAGGAAGCAGAGGACACACAGATGGATCTCTCCATATTTCTGTTTGTGGTGGGACTTTACAACAGGGGGTTTTTTTATCATAACCACAGACAGTCATTAAAGCGTGTTTCTTATCTATTACATAAACATCACTTTCCTAGGACCCATTCTCAGACATGCACTTCCTTCTCCAAGTCCTCTCCTGATCCTGGAGGATCATTCAGAGGGGTCTCTGGTGCTTGCATTCACTGAGTGCTCTGATATTAAAGGTGACCATGCCTTGAACTTTTCCTTCGGCCATGTGCTCTTGTTTCTTGTTACAGAACTTGCCCCAGTGCCACTGCAGGCCTCCAAATCTGTTTCTGCACTGGCTCCAGCCACATTTATCATCCTATGTTATCCTGAGGAGCACATTGGAGCTGGGCTTTCCTCCTCCATCCTGGGTCCTAGAATTCTATAGCCAGGCGTAGCAGGGACACTGCCAGGGGTCCCAGATGCATCAGGGCAGGATCAGGGCTGTTGGGTGCAAACAGGGGCCCCGGGGACGGTGTGGGGTGATGCAGGCAGTTTTGGAGGGGTCAGGAGAGGATCAGAGCGGGTTGGAGCGGTCTGGACGTCGAAAATCCCAAATCTCCCCAATGAAGGAGAGCAGAGCCTGACAGGCCACACTCAGAGTGGGGAAACAGCTCCATCTGGGAAACCTGAGATAGGATGAGGTGAGGATGGAGAGCGGGGTGGAGATGGGGAGCAGGGATGAGGATGGGATCAGGATAGGAGGAGGAAGCAGCTCAACTGTGCTTCCTCGGACCAGAGCTTGTTTTTGCAATGATCTCAGAGCCCTTTCCGGAACAGGAGTTGTTTCTGAGAAGCACCCAGCTGCCTCAGCAGCACTGCCTGCACTGCCAGTACTACCAGTACCACCAGAATCCCTCTGCTGCTGGAGAGACATTGACCCCTCAGGAAAGAGAAACGAGGAACGGCAGAAACCTATCTAGAGAGGGAAGGCAGCTGGAGAATGGGACACTCTGCAGGGAAAGAGTGTTTCTAATCGGGACAGAAAGAGGAGCACATCACAAAAATCATCATTTAGAGCTTCTGACAAAAGCCACTTCCGCTGTACGAAACAAACCACCAAAACCTCCCCCCACACCCAACAGAAATAACTCAGAGGAACGGAATTTCTCAAGTCGACAAAGTTGCAATTTTCGATTCCCCCACTCCCCCCATGACTCCACCAAGACCTGAGTAACAACACCAGGACAGGGCACAGAGAGGAGCCAGCAGGATGGGAATGGGGAGCTCCTGGTGACCTGGGCACTTTCTCCTTCATGTCCCTGACCTGCCAGGAGCCGCTTTAGGACATGGATCCCAAAGGAGCAAGAGGGACCAGGAAGTGCCACAGATCTGCACAGACCCCTTTGCCTGCTGCTGCCCCACAGGGAACAGGTCAGTGGAATGTTTGCCTTTCTCCCTACCCCACCTTCCTCTCCTGCAGCAGCTGCTCTGTTCCTGCCACCCTCTCCTGGTGATTAGTGCACTCCACAGCTCCTCTCTCTCCTCCTGTGCATCCCTTCTGTATCCTAAGACTGAAATGGGCCTGAACAAACTTTCTAACATAATGCAAAGCATGAGGAAGCAGGAATTCTTGACCTGCACAGGACGCAGAGGGATCTCTCCTTGTATTGTGTCTATGGTGAGACTTCACAACAGGGTATTAAACCATTACAACCACATGTAGGCATTAACAGTTTTTCTTATCTAACACACAAACACCATTTTCCTAGAACTCATTTCCATGCATCCAACTCCTCCTGCAAGTCCTTTTATGATCCTGGAGGATTTTTAAGAGGGGTCTCTCTGGTGGTCACATTCAACGAATGCTGCTATATTAAAGGTGTCCTTGCCTTGAACTTTTCCTCTGGCCATGCAGTGTATCCTCTTGTTCCAGAATTTGCCCAAAATCACTGCAGGCCTCCTTGTCCGTTTCTGCACTGGTTCCTGCCATGTTTGCCATCCTGTGTGCCAGCCTTTACATCCTGTCAGAAATAACCACCCACTTTTTACTATTTTTAACATTTTTAAAGATTTATTAAAACCTTAACAAAAATTGCAACAAAAGGACTAAATAAGCAGAAGCAGGCCTGGGAGCTTCCCTCATGGCTGCCCACCACGTGCCTGGCTGATCTTCAAGATGGATGCTTCACCTTTGATACCCCGGGGGTTGCATCAGCTAAACCTGGCCCCTCCCAAAGTCTGTCAGTCAGCCCTTCTTTGTGTTTATTGCTGGAGCCTGCTTTCCTGCAGCTTGACTGGAGGGTCAGGTGTTTTCATGCTGCACCTCTTCCCCCCCAGCAACAAGCTTTTTTACACCCCTTCTTTCTACCTGTCCTAGATGACTCAGGATCTCTGATGGCAACAGTGCAGAGGGGGCGAAGGGGACAAAAGGGACAACAGGGAACATCTAAACAACAGACTGCAATAACATAATTATACACCAATAAAGCTTCTCTTAATATTCACACAGTATTCATCCCTTAACTGTGAGAGACAATCATCCCATTATCCCTCTATAACACATCTTTTTAAATTTTGGCCACCTTGGTATTGAACCACTTCAGAAAAACTGAAAATGGCCATTCTCTATGTTATTTATCAACTTCCTGCGAGGAAGGCCAAACCACACAACTCCCTCTCCACCCTACCATTTCCACCACCCTCCTCCCCTGCACATCTCACTCCTCTCCACTGAATCCTTCCCACTGCAGGGAGCTGCTGAGGAGCCACATGGTCCATCCCTGGATTCTCCAAGCTCTGACTGCCCATCCACTCTGACCACAGCCAGGGGCCACATCCCACTGCCTGCCCAGCGTCCATCCATGGAGGTGAGCACCGTGTTCCCATCTCCTGCCTCACCCACTGAAGCAGATGATCTCTGTGATATTGATGTCACCACTGTGGCCATACACAGTGTGACCCTGCTCATCGGCCTCTGTGGGCTGGCTGGGAACGGGGCTGTCATCGGCCTGCGAAACCTGAAAATCCTTAACTCTGACTTCTTTATGCTTGCTGTCATTGATTTCCTCTTCCTCCTCTTTGCGGTACCCTCAGCACTCCTCTTCCTGGTGGAGGATGTGTCCTGCACTCCTATTCTGCCCCTGCTGTATCTGAGTTTCCTTTTCCAGTCGTCAGTGGTCTCCCTCTACTGGGGGCTGTTCTGGCTGATGGGCAGCAGCAGTGCGTGGTCTATATACAAGCTCTGCAAACTCTGCTGCCGCTGCGGGCTTCCAGGGCGCCTGTTGTGGGTGTTGGACAGTGTCAAGATCTAGGCCTTCTTTGTTCTCTTCAATGTCATTCCCACGGTGACATTTGTGTGCCCATCACAGCAGCAGCAGCACTGCCAGGCAGCTCTCATCTCCGTGTACACCGTCATCCTGCTCCTCTTTGCTGCACCCGTGGCCATTTCTCGCACAATCGATTTCATTAAGGCCAAGTGGGGCTCCCAGCAGCAGCAACTCAAGAGACGCGACATCGTTATCTTCATCATTGTGTTCCTCACTCTCCTCTTCATCCTCTGGAATTTCCTGCAGCAGCTTGGTTACATCACTGTGTCCTCCCAGGTTGTTTTCCTGCTCGCCTGCATCCACAGCAGCATTAAACCCTTCATCTACTTCTTGGCAGGAGAGTGCTGGAGACCATGCTCCATAAAGTGCCTCCAACTCTCACTCCAAAGGGTCTTTGAGGAGTCAAAAAAAAAAAAACCTGCATTCAGAAATCATGCCCCCAGGGACACAGGGGTCTGAGCCTGTTGGTCCCTTCCACTGCTCTGCTGAAGGACACCAGGAGAGTGGCTGAGGGGCACTCCTTGAGTCACCTGATTAATAAATATCCACGGGATCACTCTCCCTGTGGTGCTGTATTCCTGCAGGAGAATGGAGCAGGAGCATTGCCTTGGGTGATTTTTGTGGGATGCTCTGCAGGGAGCACATTGCAGCATGGCTTTCCTCCTCCCTCCTGGATCCACATGGCTCCAAGCAGTGCAGCTGGGCTCAGTGCTGTTCCCTAGCTCTGTTCCCCATGCAATGACCCTCATGGCCTCAGCCCCAGGGAATGAACTCCATCTCCTTTGGCTCAGCAGATGAGTTCCATGGTGTTTCCAGGGAGCTCTTGCCTGCAAAGAATGGGGCACCTTAATCCATGGGGACACACCCAGCACGGGGTGGCAGTGATTTCCCAAATCCCTGCAGGGCTGGTGCCTCTGGATGGCAGGAGAGGGGTTGGGATCACAGGGAGCATCCTTCCCCTTCTGTCCAGCAGAGCCAGCCCTGCATTCCCAGCTGATGGGAAGGGACACCAGGTAGGGCTGCAGAGCTGGAGAGGGACAGCAACATTCCCTTATCCTTTCAGTGGGAATGTCTCACATTCTTCAATTCCAGAATTGAATCCTTCTGAGGAAAGTGCAGGGTCGATGGTGAACTCCACTGAACTCCTATGTCTGTATCCAGAAAGTACATGGAATATGGAAATTCCCATCACCAGATGCTTGGACCATTGAATTGCACAGAAATTAGGGGGTTATGCTGCTTTTCTGCAGAATGGGGCCATCCATCCTCTGGTTCCCCAGCATCAGTGTCCAGGGAAGCCCTTGAGCACCTCCATCCTGAACCTGGCCACCCTCAGGAGGAGCTGCACAGCCACTCTGCACAGCAGCTCCAGCCACAGTCCAGCCTGTCCTGATCTTTGTCATTCTGTAACTATCCCTCAATCAGATTTGGATTCATGGTTTTTGTTTCTTTCCACTGTGGTAGTCCCAGCCTCAGAATTTGTTGAATAAACAACGTCCAGGCTTCACTGCAGGGCCTGTCCCTGTTAAACAGTGTCCAGAATGACTCATTTCCTTCTTTTATCCCATCCTAAAGCCTCTGGCTGCTCTGGGAGCAGGGCAGGTCCCTGTCTCATACCAGAGCCCTTCCTAAGGCACATGCCTGCAATGCTTGGGATGGTGTTGGCAGTGCCAAGAGCTCCTGATTCCTCCTGGGAGAGACCTGTGCAACAGCCACATCTCTTGCTCAGGGGGAAGTTGTCCCTCCTTTTCCCACTGCCTTAAATCCAGGGGAAACCAATGTGCCACTGCTTCTGGAAAGGGAAGTGTGAGTGAAAGCTGTGGGTGGTGAGTCAGGCTTTGGAGACACACATGAGGTTAAACATCTATGGAACATTTATTAACAGTGTTGTTAGTAATTAACAGAAGAGAAAGACTTGGACATCTGAGAGGGGTTTTCTCTCATTGACTCTCATTTTCTGTCCATTGGAAAGACAAAACTTTCCAAGGTACAACCTCGGGTCCAGGGAAGAACAACGCACCCGAAGCGTCCATCCCAAGGCAAGTGCAGAAGGACCATTATCCTTCCATGAACTTTTTCTCCTACCCAGCACATTCCTTATCTCCAATGCCACCCAGGCCACTCCCCAGCTGAGCTTCCTTTCAAAAGAGCAATGATTTCAAAGCAAAAGGTTTCCTGGCTCTCCCTGCCCATGAAAGAAGGAGAGATGGAATGAGATGATCTCTACCGTTCCTTCCAACCACTCCTGGGTCACTTTATGAGCTGAATTGTGTCCCCATTCATCTGTTTAGCCCAGAAATAGGTTTTGCACATTTCAGACTGGTTCTTGGGCAAAGAGGGGCAGAGCAGATGCAGCAGTTTGTTTTCAGAAGCTGCGCTCACTCCTCCCCATTCCTGCTCCCAGACCGTGCTGTCTGCAGCACAGACATGCAGCACAGAGCTCTCCATTGCTTTTAGGTTTTTTCAGCTTGCTGAGGCAGAGAACTTCCCAGGACTGTGGTTTTCCTTTTGCTTTGAACTGTTCAAACCTGCTCTGGACTGAAAACCCAGAAGAGCACCAGGAGCTCACACCTGTGGCCCACCAGGGCCTGGGACGCAGCATTTTCCAGCACCAGAGGGACTGATAAGGGACTGAGTGAGCCAAACTACACTCCACAATAAGGACTGTCTAAATTTGCCAACTCTTCAGAACAGCAAGAGATTTTATTGTTTCATATTGTTTTCATTTCTTATCCTTGTGAATACTTTGCTTGTTAAATAAACAGTTTTTTCCATTTTTATCTAAGGAAATCTATTGGAATATGAATCCCAATATTACCAGTTAGATTGTGCCTGGGCCAGTCTGAGCCTCGCTGCTGAGCCAGAAGCGGCTTCTGTGGTGCTTTACCCCAGAGACACCTTTAGCTTGCTGATGGTTTGAGCTGGGCACTAAACAAGTCCAGGCTTGTTAGGGACTCCGTTTACCTTAGGAAGAGGCTTCAGGCAAAGGTGAAGAGTAAAAAAGGAGAGATTCTACCAGAGGGTTATATGCAGTGGTTTATTCAATGGTTACAGACATCTGAATCTTGGGAAGACCTCCAACAGAATAGCAAGCACATGGCTGGACTCACCTTTTAAGCTCAGGGGGTGGGGAGGGGACAGGTGAGCCACCAACCAGGTGGGGGGGGCAGGGTCTCAGGGGAGAATGACAGCTAGACAGACCAATGATCCCCAGGCCTGAGGGGCATCCTTTGAACCTGACCAACCACATGATGCCTTTGCTGGAATGTTAAGCCTGATTGACAGGACTCACTCAGCAAGGAGTGAGGGGGACGGGGAAGAGAGGGTTTTGGCACACCTGGGAAGGGACCCGGGACCCGGAAGTCTAAAACAGGACATTACAACACACTACAACAGAAATCTTTTCCTGAACCAGCTGGGGAGGGGCTGCTCAAATTTGTTTTCAAGAGAGATCTCATTTTGAGGCCTCCACCTGAATGTACCCTAAAGCAGGACACATCCCAAACCATTCCATGAGGATTCCTCATGACATCCAGCATCCAGCCCAGGCAGGAGTTCCCCTGCTGCACACAGCAGCAGCCTGACAGAGCTCAAGGAGCATTTGGACAATGCTCTCAGGCACAGGCTGTGATTGTTGGCATGTCCTGTGCAGGGCCAGGTGCTCAAAATCAAGATCCTTGTAGGATCCTTCCAGCTCTGGATATTTTATTGTTCTATACTTTGATGACGCTGTTTCATGATTATTCCACCTGATGATGATTCCACTGTGTTGTCCCTGTTCCCTCACTCTGGCACAAAACCCTCAAAAGCCCTCTGCAAGGCAACACTACCAGAGGGGGTGAATTCCTTTGCACAGCTCCCAGCCAGGAAGTAAATCAGAGGGAGAGCACTGCTGTTGGCCAAGGAGCCAGAGCACAGCCCCATTCCCACCATCCCACACAGCCACAGCAGCAGCAGTGGGACAGGCACTTTGCTCCACTGCCTGCTGTCACACTGGCTCCAGTTGTCGTGGCTCTCCTCATTCCAGCTCCCCTGGGATGCCTTCCCACC